GGGGGGGGGGGGGGGGGGGGGGGGGGGGGGGGGGGGGGGGGGGGGGGGGGTGAGGCGGGAAAAGACATACTCGAAGTACTGCACAAGTTACGCCAAGGTGGTCAGCACACGCGCACCACGTTTCGCGGTGCACGTATGCAGGGGTGGGACGCACTCATCGTTTGCATGCCTTAGCCGTTAGACCACGCGCCCTCGAGAAGACGGAGCAGCAGGGAGTATGTGTGTCCACTCATAGTCGTGCATGCCGTAGGCGTTAGACCATTGACCTCGCATCCTACAATGCCGGGACGGAGCACGCCGGGTTCTCACCGGACCAGGCTCTAACATCAGCAAGCGCGGGTGGTGAAGAAAAGCTACGCCAAGACAATCAAAACAAGCCGCGCACCAAATATCGCGGTGCACGCACGTGTTGAGGGGGGGGGAGTAAGGATTCGCGCGAGGATGGTCAAAACAGGCGCCACCAAGCATCGGGACTAAGATAACACCACACACAGCAGGGGCGTAGGGTGACATCACTTCATAGAGCAGAGCGGGGAGAGCGGGGGTGAGCACACACGAACAACCAGCGGCACTCACGCCAGCCCAGCCACAGCCACGAAGAAGCACTTTTCATGGGTCAGCAGACGATTGCGTACACAAGCGCGGCTCGATTGTTGTTGTTGTTGTTGTTGTTGTTGTCTCCACATTCAAAACCGTTCCGTTCTCTCTGCCCAGTACCTTCTTCTGTCCGTACTAGTCTCAACACTTGACGGGGTCGATTCCCGTGGTCACAGGCTAACTTACCCAAAGGCATACGAAAATAAAATGCAAAGGCTAAAAACAAATACATGCCAAACAAAGCGCACACGTTACACACGCACACGTTACACACATAGCGCTGTTCGATGCCAAATGGTAACAGAAAAAGCACCCACCTCCAGCGACATGACCTTCCCCGTCTCAGACTTCCCGCGGCCCTTCAGGAGCGTCAGCGTGGGAGGCGGGGGCCGCAGCGGCACCCCCCCGAACCCAGACTCACGCCTCAGCGACGATAGCGACGCCGCCTCGGGGGGCTCGAAGCGGAGGACAGCGTACTGCTGGCGGTAGGCGAAGCGCCCCCGCAGCGTGTCCCGGCGCTTGTACAAGACGCCCTTTGCGAGGAACAAACGAATACAAGGGAATCCAATCCGGAAATAACGCGGGGTTGGTTGCATGAAATTAGCATTGGCATGGGCGTTCGTGTATACGACGATGGCCTTCATCCATCTGGTGTGAGAGGGTGAATTGTGAAATTTCGCATCTCCGATTCATTGTCGAATTCGGGACTTTTGACGCAAGTCATGCATCTCCTTCCATGTACTATTACCTGCATGGACCAACCTCTGGGGTGGGCGCATTTTCTTTTCTTCTCTTGTGGGATGTTAGTACAATGATCTGAACGGTAGTGTTGTAGGAAAGACATTCAGGCTGTGGCGGAAGCTGCAACTCCCTAGGATGGCATTGTTATCAACGGGATATTGCTACAGCGGCCTCCCCTCCCTACAAGGAGAGGACAACCCCGGCCCCATTGTTCAGTCTACCACAAAAGAGGAAGAAAACAGCAAGTTGTACTCCTACTCAAGAGACTTCATCAACAAGTGAGTCGTCATCAGGGTCTCCAGGGATTGCTACGCGTGCAAACCGCGCAATGCTTGGTGACTCAAAACGTGAGTCATCATCGAGGTCTCAAGGGAATGGCTACTCGTGTAAACCCCACAACATTTGGCGTGTCCGCGGTAAGGAAAAACGCTTCTCCTGCTCGATTCTCTTTGGTGCCGCCACTGGAGACCCCTGCTCTCTCTCAGAGCCTGAGGCAAAGGACTGTTAGACACAGAATCGCAGCTACGATCACCCAAAGAGCCACATACCGCGAGGCAAACCAGAAACGCCGAAACACCGCGCTTTGAAGAAGGCTACCATTATTCAAAGCGCGGTCTTGTTAGCGTGTATAGTTTCCACCGCGGCGTGTGTCTCCACGGTGATGGTAGCGGCGATTCTATGTCTAACAATCCTCCGTCTGAAGCGTTGTCACAGCAGTCTGGGAACCAGAATCGACCGCGTTGGCCAATGAACTCACGTCAGAGTAAACCGTGCTGCGTGTTTTCACGAGGTAACATCGACCACGCTGACAGGCTGACCAATGGACAGGCATCAGCGGTAGCGGGCAAAAACCAAAGGGGTCCCGGAAGCGTACGTGTGTGTGCGCGCGCAACAACATGCTACTATTGTAGTTCACACGTTACTTGTCGTCTCCTCATTAAAAAACCGTTCCGGCCTCTGCTCAGCACCACTTCCACGCTAAAAAAAAAAGCGGGCGGGGGGGGGTTGATAACTTATTCCTCGGCGAGTTAAGGGCCAAGAAACAAACAACACCACGAGAAATCTCTGCCCTGCCCCTGTCTCTCACCGTCCTCTCCGTAACTTCGAGGGTCCTCGAAGTCGCTCGCTGCACCTCTTCTCCGTAGCCCTTACCAAACCCTCCCCCTCCTCCGGTGAGTCCTGAGCCTCCCTTTACCGCCGTCGCCGCCGGTGGTCTGGCCCTCCCCGCGGCGACGCCGGCGGCGGCAGCAGCGGCAGCGCCTTCGAGCGGCCGGCCGTTCCCCTGCACCGTAACCGGCGGCCGGGGGGTACCAGAAGCGGACGCGGGCAGGGCCGTGGTCGCGGCTTCGGGCCCGGCGGCGGCCGCAGCCGCCGGCTGTGGTGCCGAGACCAAGCTACCCGCGCGCTTGCTCGAGGAATCCAACTTGTCGCCGCCGCCAAAGTTGTAGCCGTTGACATGCCCGCCGGCGTGGCTGGCGCTGGACTTGGAGATGAATCTCTCGTCAAACACGTTGTTGCTCTCGCCCTCTCCACCCCGCCCGCCGCCGCCGCCGCCGCCGGTGCTCTCGCCCCCTTCCACACCGCCGGTCATGGAGGTCGCGTACAGAGAGTCGCCGGCGGGGGACGGCGGAGCCGCCGGGTGCTGGCCCGCGTTGGACCCGCTCGGCGAGGGCGGCGCTTCCCCCGCTGCCGCCGCCAGGCTTGCCCGGCGTTGCACCGCCGCCGCGGCGCCGGCGGGAGAAAGGCCCGGCTGCAGCATCCCCGCCGCTTCCGGACGTGGCACCTGAGACCCGGAAGGCGAGGGCGCGCCGCCGCCGCCGCCGTAGGCCGTCGAACCCCCGGGGGAGGGAGGGGGCAACGACACCCCTGAGGAAGAGCGGTTACCGTCGTCCCCGCCACCGTTGGCTACCGGCGCGGCAGCGGCGGCGGCGGCGGCCGCCAGGGTAGTAGCCGCGGAGTGGCGAGACTGTTGGGCGGGATGCCCCTGCCCTTCACCGCCGGCGTGAGAGTCGTCCTCCAGGGTGTCTGAGGAAGGGAGGGCGTTGTCGTCGTTAACCTTGTTGATGTTGTTGCTCAAGAATGACGCCGAGGACTTGGAGGGCGGAGACGGGTTTGCCAGTGGATCCGGGGCCACGTACGGCTGCGGCGGCGCCATGGACGGCTTCACCGCAATGAAGGCCTGCGAGACCGACAGGGAATGGGGGGGCACAGTAGAAGAAGCGAGGCACAGGGGGAGGGGGGGTAAGATGATTCTACGCGTGGATCGATCGATATGGCTGATGGGAAGCAACTTTCATGTCCCGACAAGCAAAATGACACACACCCACACAGATGATATTGGAGGCGTGGCCTTCCCCCGCCACTGGTGTGCAGTAGGTAGGCGAACGTTCCTCGGGTGTTCATGTAGGCGAGGAAGTGCCGGGCTGGTCAACAAGCGCGGCTTGATCAGCGAGGGCTTAGTCGAGAGCGAGCTTAAGGGGAAGAATCAACGTGGGGCCCATCTCAACCTCAGGGCTCTGACAGTATCGTAGTCCTGTACTGAGACGAGAACCCACCTCGTCAACGTACAGGGCACGTGGTATGCGTTGGCCGACGAACTCGTGCGCACGTATGTTCCGAACGTATAAGGGAAACATTACATCTGCCATCCATACAGGGAACAATGTACTTGCTTCGTTGTCGTGAAAAAAAATGCAAAAAAAAACGCCTTCATCCACGAACACATGAAAGGACATGAATGGACGCTTCCTCTCTCTCTCTTGTGGTCGTAAGAACAAACGCAAAACTCGCAAGGACGCAAAACACGAAGGACGTCCGTCATACATAGATGCATGGTATCAACTTACCTTGAGCGTTTCTGGCGAGAAGGCTTTGACAAGGGCCGGGTCGTCGAAGTCTTTACACAGCCTGATCTTGTCGGCGGTTCCCGGATCGATGAACGACGAAATCACCTTTTCTCCGAGGAGGAACATGAAACGGCGGGCGGCGGCGGCGGAACCCTGGCATGAGCTACGTCCATAACACGATTTTCGCTTCGCGTTTTTTTCTTCTTAATTCGAGCACCGATACTGTTACTAGCATGGCGAGGTTTTGCACATCAGCAAAGGCATGCATGCATAGCTCCGCGCAATCAGCGGCCATCTTATGACAACCCTACGGAGCGTGCTGCTAGCGGAAGAGGCATGTCGAGCTCCAGCAACAACACCATGTAGCAACAAGGACAGCAACAGACAGACCTCAAGCAGCCGAGAGTGGATATATACAGCTCACATCTGCGTATCCCCGCGCGATCGCGGCACAACTAGTGCTCTCCTCTCGCTCTTACCTTCCACGCCATCATGATCATCCCGTTGCACGGCAGGACGTACGTGGCGTGCTGAGTCTCGGGAAAATTGTTCTCGATTATCGGCGTCGCCACCTTGAAGAGCTACAAACAGCACCAAAACAAACACAAACCAAGTAAGCGCGAAGGTGTATGAATAGAAACCCGAAAATCCCAACAGGAACGGTACAAAACATTGACGGGGGAGGGGCTGCTGCGCCGCCGTGGAAAAGGGTAAAAACAACTGCGAACGTTATACACCACGTGCAGAAAAACGATGCATTCTGAGAAGCTACACTAGAACACGACGCACACCCCCCCGCCCTTCAACGATCCTGCGTGCCCCCCGCTGCTCCATCATCCCGAACTCCAAAGCGTACTGCACAAATCCCCCTTCCCCATCATCACCACCCCCCACCTTCCTATCCATGACATTAGTCCCCGCCCCTCGGCAGTCAAGAATCAGGCAAAACTTGTAGGCGGGAGAGAAGTCTCTGAAGCCTCGCTCAAGCAGCTGGCAGTAGTACCGGACCTATCGCGGGCACGGAGACGGGGGGTTCCGAGATAGTTGAGTGTGCGTGAGTGAGGAAGAAGCCCCTTGGGTGCCTGCGTCAGGAGTAGCCATGTGGCAAACCGACGACGCGTCACTCCCGCCGAGAGGGGAACACCGCTCTGGCTTTTGACATTAATTTACGAGAGATGCCGCCAACATTCGCGTGCTCTACATAGCATTGTTTACCTAGTCATAGACAATTTTTGCACCCTCCTGTTCCTCCGTCGTCGAGCTCGCACAACACGAGAGACAACGAGACCAGCCCCCCCCACCACTACGACATACCACGCACCTTTTCCTCCACCGTTGGGCTCGCGCCGTCCGAGTCTGACTTCCGGTGCTCGCACGCACGAAACACGAGGCACGGCCTACCATCGCGGTCGAAGCCAGACCAGTAGAACTCGTGGCTAACGCCGGTCCCCGAAAGGTCTTCGTCAAGGATCGTGTCTAGCTTGTAAGTGATTCGCCACTCCTGAGGGTGTTACGTATCGATCGTTCGAGGGGGGCGCATGATATTTAACGGTATCAGGTGAGGCTGATAATATCAAGATCGTGTCTAGTTTGTAAGTAGTTCGCCACTCCTGCGTGAAATGTATCGCTCGTTCGAGCATGTTTCCCCCCGCTGGGGTGGGGGACGGGCAGATGATATATTCCGTGTGGCTGCACGTACCAGGGGGTGGGGGCTGGCGCAGAGCGGTGTGTGTGGAGGGGGATGTTGTAGATTGCACAAGAAGAGATGCACCTTGTTGCTGAAAACGACTCTCAGCTTACACTACTGAAAACAAGACCCATGACATGGACACTTGAGGCTACTCATGGTCGGGGCACCGAGAGCGGTTGGCACAACGCCCCACTTCAACAAATGATGCGGCTTCACGATAAGTTGGGGAGGGGGGGAGCGGTGAGACGGCGGTCTGTTGCTGTGCACCAAACTCCCACTCCCGTAGGCACCCGCCCGCCAGGTGCTCGAGAACCCAGAATGCAGCCATTCGCTCGCACACACAACGTCTGTCTCGCTCACCCAAGCGCTCGAAAAGCGCTCACTGAAGGCGGAACTCACTGCACTGCTGTGCACAACAACGTCAAACGTACACACAGAACACCACCTCACGGGGGTCCCAGATCATGGCCTTTCCTGTTTTCAGCTGCGATGAAGACTGACGTCTTTTCATTGGTCAGCCGCTACCCGCTGGCACTGACGTCTTTACATTGGTCAGTCGGTAGGCGCGGTCAATGCCAACAACAAACACGCACACACACACAAAGACCCCTCACCAAGTGCTCGAGGAGCATCTTCAGCGCGATGTCCACGTTCCCGTTCCGGGCCGTGATGAAGCGGTGCAGCACCCGATCATTCGTGAACCACCGGTACCGCAAAACGCTCGGGACGGTCGTCTCAAGGCCCGTAAGCCGCTCGCGGAGCTCCGCGATCTGCTCAGGGGTCGCCTGCTTGTGCCCCTTCCCGTTACCGGAGCCTTGCCCGCCTCTCCTCCCTCCCCCGGCCATGATGACAGGTTGGGGGGGGACTGCGATGACGATGATCTTGCTAAACGCGTAGATTTCTGGGGCTCTCTGTCTCCACCCACGCCGTTGTGCGGACTGACGATGCCCCCCCTCCCACAACAAGGAAAGCTGCTCCGCTCCCTCTGTTGCTGATCTCCAGGGAAACTACTAGCCCAGGACGGTTGGTTGTGGCTGGAGGGAGAGCCCCCCTCGCCCCGTCCCCGTTTGCAGCGGCGACACGCCGCCGCGCCGCGGAACACCTGCTGTGCATGGCACGGAAGCGATGGCAGAAAGCCAACGAGCTCGGTCATTGAAGAAGAGGGGGCCTCCAAAACGGGGGATTGCGCAAGCCGCCTATGTGCACGGGTGGGCAAGACGACCACAACTTCAATCCACAGGCCAAAAAGGGGGCGTCAAGGGTGTGTACGGAAGACGGTGCGAGGGGCGGCGAGGCCGGAGAAACAACGACTGCAACGCCAGATGTCACGACGTCATGGCAAAGAGTAGTGGAAAAACAGGGCAAGAAAATCGTGCTCCAGGAGGAACGACAGAAATGATGGGAAAACACAGGCAACCCTCCCCTCTAGGGCGGCTAGGGCGGCGGCGGCGGCGGCGGCGG